ACAAAATTGGTGAAAGTGTTTTTTCGGTGAATATAAAAATGAAAAAGAAATGTGGGAAAAGGTTTACAGAAGAAAGGCCCACAATAAAGGAAGAACCTATGCAAGCACTGTATAATATTTTTGATGTATCAACACGCAAGAATTTGTTGATTGTACAACTATGATTACCAGAAAAAGGAAACTTATGGAAAAACGAGATGTTGACCCAAAACAAAAGGAATACAAAGTTCAGTATGTGGTGGACTCTCTAGAAAGAGGAGGGTGAATGCTAAGAAACTTGAAGTGAGTCAGTAGAAGTCTTTTGGAGTCAGTTGAGGAATTGCTAATGACATCACAGCAAGGAGTGTAAATGAGACATTATAACTGCTAGGACTGTCACTAAATACAATGCTTTTTGCATCCCAAATCACTGAGGCCATCACCTTCCCCGCAGATGACGTTGGCCTTCTTTTAGCAGGTGAGGAGTGTTTTTATTGCATGGATTGTCTCTGTCTCAAAGTAATTAACCCAACACTCATCCTGGGTTAGGAAACGTTTGAAGAATCCAGTTGTCAGATTCTCCCACTGGTCAGCCTGGTGTGTGCTTTTGATCTGGTATCAGAAGATGTGGAATCCACTGAGCAGAAACCTTTGTCATGCAAAGTTCATTGTGCAGAATATTCTCAACTCTCTCATAGTATATGCTAACAGCATTGGCTATTTGATTTATAGTCAATCACCTGTCATCCATTACCATGTGGTGAACACAATATTTTCCTTGGTGGTGACAGTTGCAGACCTTGGAGCATCTTCAAGACTTTTCTATCCACTCCTAAATTCAGCTGCCCACTTTTGCACTGTTGATAAAGCAGGAATATCATTCCCTAATGTAGCAACCATACCAGCATGAATGTCCCTGGGCTTGATTCTTTTTTCTGCAGGAACTTGATAATACCACGATGCCAAAGTTTGTTCATTTTCAAGAGAAATCACTACAAGTTACTTTTGAATTCTTCTTTGAACAGTCAGATGTCAGTTCACCTGGAAAAAAACAATGCAGTTATTAATAAGAAGAGTTGAAATTAATACATGTAAGATTTCACAGCTCTAGCATCACTCTTTCATGGTTAATCTATGAACTTTTCAACACACCCTCATAAGAAAAAAATCAACATTGACTTGACATTGTGTTGCAGTTTCAAGTCAATATTTATCCCCCAACACACACTTTTTGGTCATTTCGGTAACCTTTTTACTACAAAAAATGCTACTTTATCTCAGTCATAGCTATAAACGAATGACTGATGGTTATTTATAATTAAAGAATATTTTTTGTGATTTCTTTATTTATTGATTAGGATATGCTATTTTAATCTTTCTTCTCGGTCATCACTATTGTTAAAATAAAGGGTGTTGATATAAAAATTAAGCAAATTAAAAATTGTTATAATGGAAATAGAAAATTAACTGAATTTAACATGTGACTTAATAGACATTGAATCACTTTTCTTTTTAAAATCATTTTACCCTAATCAAGGTGATAATGCCACTAAAATGTTACAGGTTACTGAGAATGAGAAGACTTTAGTGAGGAGAAATAACAGGATTCAGAAACATAGAAGATAGTGATTGATGTTACATTTAAATTTTTGAAGATCATAGGTGGCAAGGAAGCCAGTAATCAGAAGGGAGTTCCACAAGTGAGAAGTAAAGAAACTATCAGAATAAAACTTAAGTAACTTAATTAGCTATTTCAACAGTAAAATAATGAGACCTAATCGGCAATCTAGTAATACACGTAAATTCATGCATAGAAAAGACAGAAGGAAACCACATCACAGTGGTGGGAAAGTTACAGAAGTCAAGATGCCAGGTCAAGACTGATAACATTACAAAACCTTCTTTGGATTTGGTCAAGAATCAAGAAGCATCAGACCAGATATGGTAACGATATTCAATGCATGGATGCATGGTAGATTTATAAACGTGCAATATGGATTCTGGTGAGAAAAATTATCCTGTACAACACAGTGAACCAACTTTTATAGCAGTAGACCTACCAATTGATTCAATATATTCACTCCAATTCATGTCAAAGAAAAATATGAGACAAATAAGGTGCAATGAGTTGCTCTCCTGGAGATTAGCATCAGCCATGCTCATTGAAGGCAAAAATGATTCTCTATGATGATCAAAAGATAACAGTTTTGTTTGCATTTTTTAAATTTACAAGCCATTTCTTGCCCCAGTTAACAACTGATTGGAGGTCATTTTTGAGAGCAGCTGCCAATTTTACTTTGTTGAACCTATCAGACTTACTATTAAGTCAGGAGTAAATAGTTGTATCATCAGCACACATACTGAGTTATGTACTGATGACATTGAAAAGGTCAATGATGAAGATAAGAAACAAGGATAGAGCCCTGGGGATCCCCACTTTAAAGGATCTAGAAGTGTGGCCATTCAACATAAGTTTCAGTACATGACTTGTTAAGAATGATTGAAAGTCAGAGACGCTACAGAATTGTGAAAAAAGCCAGTATGCCAAACTCTGTTGAATGACTTCAAAATATGAAATATCTAAAGCCACATAGACAAATTCAGTAATAACCATTAACATATTGGCAGTAGACCTAGAAAAACAAAAGTTATATTGTTTATCTTTAAGAAGACCATGTGAAGTAAGATGCTCAATCATTTCATTGTTGATTAGTGCCTCTAGTACGTTGCCAAAACATAGGACAATAATTTGAGAGATCAAAGTTTACGAGAGATCTTGAAGACAGGAACTACAGAAGAAGATTTCCAAAAAATTGGAAAACAAGAAGCAGCAAGGCATTTGTTGTTGAGTTTGGAGAGAACAGGAGCCAGTTGAGAAATTCCTATAAATTTATAAGCAGTAAAGAAAAAAATGGAAATGCAGACTTGATGCATAATTAGCTACAGTTTTGGCAAGACCTTTTCTTTATACACATTAATATTATTATTATTATTTTATCAAAGTATTTTCCTTGGTTTTCTCTGACTTTATACCACCTTTGAGGTTAATTGTGCATTCTATTATAACAGAATAATTTAAATTTTGATTGAATTATTTAATATCAAAAGTAATGTCCAATTTCAAGGTCTATATTAAAAATGAAAAAGCCCATTATTATGAAAATATTTATTCATTAACAAAACCTACTTTACTTTCTAGAACATCATTCCATCTGTTAACAAGCTTATAAATGACACACCTGTAAAATTCCTTAGGTTTTGAAGCAAAATATGAATCCAACTCGTTTTCAATCTCTTCTCTTGATGTCAACCTAAGATTATCCAAATGATTTTGTAGTTCCTGAAACAAGTGATAATCAGAAGGAGCAAGGTCAGAAGAATATGGTGGATGAAGCAATATTTCCTAACTAAGCTCATCCAAAAGATTTTTAGTCAGTCGAGCTGTGTGAAGACGAGCATTATTGTGATAGATGATGACACCCTTTCTGTTCATTACGGAAGGTCACTTTCGATTCAAAGCTGTTTTCAAACAACAAATTTGATTACAGTACAGATTAGCTGTAATTGTTTAATTGTTGTTTAACATTTCGTAATAGACAATTCCTTCAATATTCTGCTATACACTCAACATGATCTTCTTTGGATGAAATCCTCCTCGACTGATCCGCATTTGATGGTGAGTAACGTTATGGTAAAGGATCCACTTCTCATCACCTATAACAAGCCTACCTAAAAATGGTGTCTGAAGGTGTTGTGAAAGCAATGATTTGCAACAAGTAACATACTGTTACAGATTCTATGGAGACTGTTCATGTGGGACCCATTTCCCAATCACTAAAAGCTTTCCAATCCTTTTTAATTGGCATAGCACAATTGTATGGTCTGTTAAATTGTTCTGCAAGTTCCCTAGAGTTAATGCTGGGATTGTCTGTGACAACAGCTTCCAACTCTCCAGAATCAAGTTTTTTGGATGACCCTCTTTTTTGCTTGTCTTTCAAACTGAAATTCCCTCTTTGGAAATGTGAAAATCATCTCCTGCAACTTCTTTCATACACTGCATCATCTCTGTAAGTGCTCTGAATGAACTTTGCTGCTGCACTTGCATTGACACATTTATGAAGCTCATACAGTAATGTTGAATGTGATCTTTAGATGGGATGAACATAGGTGCAAACATTGCAGAAAATCATGAAAAATATTTTTGTAATCTGAAAGAGAAAGGTATAAATGACCTATTGTGACATTCCTTAACTATAACGAGAAGCACAAATTTCATAAATGCTATCTAAAACTTTCTACTCAAAAATCAGAAATTACTTTTGTACCAACCTGATATCTTTGATTTTTTGGCAGGAACTGTTGATTAAGTATGGAGTGTGGTATGAAGCAAAAAAAAAAGACAAGTGTTTAAACACTAACTGATGTCTCTTTTGGTCAGTTCATGTGAAACCCATTTCCCTAGGTTCTAAAATTTTCTTAATGCTTGTAAATGTTATACTATAAATTGTTGATTGATTGCACAAATCATAAAGAGCTGAATGAACTTCAAAGACATTTCTAAGATTTCCCTAACATTGAGCTGGGAACTTTTGCATCAACCTAATAAGTCTTTGCCTCTGACAAATGCTTCAATGTTTAAAGTAAATATTTCTATAATCATGTATAGAAATCAGACTTTAAGGTTCAGTGTAGCTATTCACTATGTTCAAGCAACATTAGTTTTAAAAAAATGGTGTTATAATTTTATCGTGTAACTATATTATTAATAATTGAAATAGATTAGAGATATCTCTTTCTGAAAAATGAATTGACTAAAAATGTGATAAAAATCACAAAAATAACGTAACTAATTAAAAGTAATTAATGAATAATTGATAACTGTAAATATTCAAAACTTGTAAACCTGCAAATTATAGCCATATAAATTTGTATTCTATTTGCTTTTGAATTTTTTTTCCAAAGTAAGGTTTTGAACTACCTATGTTTTTGTCTTGATACTCTTTTAATGTTTTCTTTTTTAGGCATTTTGATACACCTACAAATTGTAATGAATTTGATGTTGCTGAAAAGATTAAACGTCATTGTAAGTATATTAATAATTTTATGAGGCTCCAAGTTGGAAAAATATTTTGTAATTTTCCTAAAATAACTTTCTATCTTAATACAGTTTACAGTATCTCTTTTGATAATACTGAATTAACTTTAAATATGACTTTGTGTTGGACTGTGGATATTGATTCTCATGCCTGTAATTAATACTGGTGGTTTGCCCAGTCTTGACAGCTCACAGATTGTCTAGTTCATGTATGTTCATTGATTTCTGATGTAAAGGATTCTTTGACCTCTTGTTTTTGTTGACGGAAATGGAATTTCCTCATTTTCTCTACACAATCAGTAACGCCTGCTTATTGTTCAACAATATTTTGCTTTTTATAAGGGTATGAGTAGCTAGTAAGAAAAGATGCTGAGGCTTATACCATATTACACATTGATTGAGAAACTGATGACATGCTTTGTTTGCTACACAATAATTATGTGACTAAGAAAGCTTAACAACTACTTGATGAGGTTAGTGATAAACAACAATGCCACCATTTAAGTAATTTTGTTGCTGCTACATCTGCCTGTGCTCACCAAGTAAATTGCATGCTTATGTTCTAAAATCCCAATATCAAGACAATAAGAAAGTTGCTCAGAGAGGTCAACATGTCTTCTTTGAAGTCAATTTAAATCATGTTCCCAAAACAACATCAGCCATATTTGAAAGTGGGAAGATCATGAAGGGCATTTACACAGAAATTTGACTTTTACTTAAAAAAGCTGGTGCAAATGTACTTCCTCCATATGAAGAGCTTGATGGATATCACAAAGAATATTTTCTTAAGGTTTATGAACTTCAGATACCACACGAAAGGGTCATATTAGGTATCCCAGACTGCCCTAGTTTACAGTGTGAACACCTGTCAAAATAGTGAAATTTCCTTCCTGTTGATGTCTCATTTATTTTCAAAGCTATTTTGATAAACAACAAAATAATCCCACCTTAAAGAAAAAAGGATGCTTGGTGGGTGGACCATAAAGTTTGATGTTATCTTTTACAAAAAAATTTGAAAATTTTAGTGGAAAATTTAGAGAAATTCAACTTTAAAAAAATGAAATTTAAACCTCTTTATGGAGCAATGTCTTGTCTTTAATAATCAATTCATTTCATATTTCTGCACCCATATAACTCGAGGCACACACGAATCAAAAAGAGGGTATACAGCATTCATTTCATGCAAAACAGGTAGGTCTGCTGTGTTGAAATGAAACTTTGCCAGCTGAACACCCACGCATTTTAAAATCAGATTTGTTTTATGATGGATATAGAGCAGTTTTAGGTACCTCCACGAGATCGCTAAAAAAAGAGCATAGCATGATGAAAAAGACGCCAAACTTTACGAAAACAAAATTTTATCGTGTAAATGTTTATGTTATTATTAAGAGGAAAGATCAAAGTTTATTTTAATTATTTTTAAAAAATTTTCCTTCTTTTTAGAACAATCTGAATTTTCATTTAAAAATCCTTGTTTCTCTTTGTATCACTGGAACTAGTAAAATAACATGTACAATTTTTAGCACGTTTTTTTTGTATGACACACATTAATTTGGAAAATCTTGCAAAAATAAAAATAATTGTTGAATGTTAATGAAACTTTTAGAAACTATTCACAGATGATTGAAATTATTATAAATATGTTTTATTTTATTAAAGTCATGGAAGAAATTTTTTTTTTTTATATATATATATATTTATTACCCCCAATAACTAATTTTATGAAAACTCTAGTAATTCGATCAAGTCCACTTTAGTAATTACAATAGTTAAAAACACAAGGCTTTGAGGAATGCAAATCATGTTTATTTTTGTTTTTAATTGGACCCCCCCTACCTGAAAATCAGCTCTGAATTGTAACATGCAAAACTCAATTAAGAATTGTCATTTTGTTTATAATCCGGCTCTAATTATAAAGTACAGAAGACCAACCAGAATACAATTAAGTTGCGTTATTTGAGTTAAGCATTGTTCTCCGCTGTTAAGGCCTTTACTTTTGCAAAACACATGTGGAGAAGTTAATTTGATTTTTCAATTTCAACTGAGGAGGGTACCTAAAAGTATCAGTATCATCTTATGAAATTTATATGATCTTATTTTTATATTAATCTCAGTTATGACATTTTTCCATAAATGAAATATCAAAATTAATAATAAAATGAATGGAAATACAAATAACACAGTAAAATCTAATAAATGTACATAAAAATTATAGTATTTTATGTACACTTCTGATAAAATTTCATAAGAAAGGTACCTATAAAATAATTAGATACTTTTCTTATGAAATTTAATCTCACTAGTCTTATTTTAATTTCTTTATATTTTCCATAAAGCATCGTAAACGAAAACTAAGTACAAAAAACAAAAAAAATCAGAGCACTGAAAATTTTCCTTAAAACTAACGAGGTAAATAATTTGTTCATTTAAATGTAAATAATTTCACTTTTCTCCTTCTGTAGAACAAATTATCCTCATGGAATCCGTCAATATGTCATTCATCACCTGTCAAGTGATGCAAAAGTTTATAACCTGCTTTGTTTTATTTGTAATCATTGCATGATGATATGGTACAACCATTTTTGGATATTGCATTTCCTTTTTTAGTTTGGTATAACAACCCATTTGAAGTAATTGAATGTGAAGACAATATGCAAAATGAATTAATAGATTTACAAAATGATAATGATGTTACAATGTTTATGGTAAACATCAAAGTATAGTGATATCCCAATCTATAGAAGCACTTAAAGTTGCCTTCCCAACAGCCTACTTGGTAAAAGCTGGCTTCAGCCACGTTAATACTGTATCTGAAAGAAGTAGCCGAGATATAACTGAGTGAGGTGACTTGAGGATAAAAACGACTAATTTTAAACCCAATGTTTCTGTACTAGCTGTGTTTCACAAGGCACAGGGTTCATATTGATGATATATAAAAATGCTATGTGCGTGCCAAAATATTTGATGTTACTACTTTTTATATTGCTTTCAATAGAATCTTGTAATGCAGAAAGTGTTCATTTTTATATTTTTGTAAGAATTAGAAAATTGTTAATGGTTTGTTACTGCTTTGTAAACTGACTTTTTATGACAGTTATACTTTTTATTAACCATGAGTAGACCTGGAATATAAAACGGCATGTTCCGACTTGAAATGAATTAAGTAATTGAAATAATTTATTTTCCCATTTTGTTAAAAATGTGCTTTTTTTTACCCCTTAGTGGCTCGTCATAATAAGGAAAAGGAAGCTGCTCAGTTTTCTGATTCTTATAGAAGATTGCAAAATAATGTAAGTATTTATATCATTGATCATTAAACTCTTCATTTAAAATGTTTAATTATATAAATGTATCTGGAATATAACATATTATTCTTTTACTACTGTATTTCAGAAAGCCATTCGACAGAAAGGTGCTGTGTTGGCCTTTTTATACCGCCTAAAAGAAAGCAGAGCTTTAAAAAATAATCTGGTATTTATTACTTGTTGATAATATTGTTAGTATTAAATAAGTTATTTAATATTTGTAACAGCAAAACTTAACCATTTGTGTTCATCAGTTTAGTATGCATTGTGTAGTGTTGAGCTGGATTCACTATCTATAAAGATTATCATTTGAGTGGAATGATAAACTTTCTATTAATATATATATATATATATATAAACAAGAAAATATTATTCCTTTGAAATCTTCCATCATTTAGTAAGTTTTAAAATGATTTAGTTGAAATGTGACAGGCATCAGGTTTTAAAGTTCATTATAAATTTGATTCTTAAACTCAAATCAACACTCATACAATATTTAAGAAAATTCTACTTGTGTTTAAAAGAAAAAGCTGGTTATTAAAAATGCTTGGTGAAGTCAGGCTAAAGCCGGTGATTTTGATAATCCTTGTGTCTTGTTGGTGATTATGATAAAGCTGAGCCTTACTGGAAACTGAAGTCTTACGAATTAGAAAGGTCAAGTTTGTTGTTATTAAAAGGATACTAGGAATGAATACATCCATCATTTTGCCAACTTCAGTTTGTATAGTTGTTTTGATGTGTTGCAGAAGCTGCTTGATAATGAAATCAGTTTGGCTGCACAGCAATGAAGAGATGAAATTTCTGAAAAAAAATGATAGATGTTCCAACACTTACTTGAAGCTTATGATGTGGAACAATCAGAACAAGAGATTTGAGGAAATCAGTTAGGTTCAGATCATCCTACAAAGTGTCTGAACTATGTCAATTGATTTGTAAACCCCCCCCCCCAATATCTGTTGTCACAACTTTGAGTTTATTTCTCTGATTGAATTATTTGGAGCATTCACTTAAGAACCATTAGTATTTTCTGTAATTTGAACCCATTTTGTCCATTTACAACAAAAATAAGTTTAATCCAAAAAATTTTAAGTTTTGTCTGCAAATGCTTTCCACAATTTTTTTTTACAAACAGAAAACAAAGATTTTAGCCCTTCAAATTCTTTCATTTGGTTGAAAAAATCCTAATTTGACCTCTAATGGGAGTAGCTTCAATCCTATTATGTTTTTCTGCCTAAGTTACTTTCATATACCAATTTACTTCTAGAATGTAATTGATACAAAACTAATTGTGCATTGGAAGTTGAATTTGACCATATTCACCTTACTATTTGTGAAGTCAAAACCATTTATGCACATGAAGTACAAACTCAATATATCTATTTTGCTTGAAATTGCTTTATTTGACTAGAAGTGGTATGATTCAATTGTTGATGACCTCTGTAATCTTAAATCACTTCATAAGTATAGATTTTTATGACATTTCAGATTAGAAGAGGCTTTGAAGTAAATGAAAGTGGAAATGTGCTAAAAGTTTGTTTAGAAACTGAATGTAGGTACTGAATATTCTGCTAATCACATGAAAACCTATAATTAAAAATTGAACTGATAAAGTTGAATAAAACATTTTTCTACTATAGCTTTTATTAAAATGTCAAATTTTAATGTATTTTAATATTAATGTCAAATTTTATCTGAATTAATCAAATATTCTTCAAGTGATATGTAATTGAAATTGGTCAATGGTAAATGGGCCACTTAATACAACCAATTAAAATATTTTAACTTATAATCAACATGATTGCCCCCCATTCTGTGTTGACAGCTATAATTAATTGATTAGTTTAATTGAATTTTATTCAAATTATATTCTGTGATTGAATCCTGACTCTACTTTTGAGGGTTAATATTTTGTATAGTAGTAATGCATTTATTTAAATATATGTATGTTATACTAGCATTGCCATCATCAATATTTTTTGTTATGCTTTTGTATAAAATTAAATAAAAATTAAAAATGAATGTATTTAATCTAAAAATGAACCTAATAATAGAGTTGGATATGAAAATCAGCCAAAATGAATTTCAATTTAGCAAAACATATCACTATAAATTTAAGATTATATTTGCCTTCAAAAACTTGTAGCTATTAAACAGATCAAAACAAAAAAAATAAGGTACATAGATTATACACTGAATCAATCAATCAGTATCATAATTTTATTGTAGCCTACTGTATAACTAAAAGGAAGATTTTGTCTCTCAGCTTGAAAATTATAAGGAAATATTGTGCAAAATATCTGTACACTCACATTTATGTTAAAATGATGACTAATTTGATTAATTTTGGACAGGCTTAAGATTTTAACAAAATATTTTTTGTTTAAGTAATAACACAATTTAAAATGATATATATCAGGAAAATAACATTTTTTTCCAATTGTTAGACTATATTGTATTTTAGCATATAAAACAAAAAAATATAATGTGGATCAATGGGATCATATCTTTTAATCATTTTGATTGAACCAGTGTGTGCACAAATTAGTATTTGCATGTTAACTTTACTATGATGTTCAAGCATCATTATGTTGGTGTAGTGAATAGGTCACTTGCCTACATGCTTCCAGGTCAGATGTTCAAATCAAGGCAGGATTTTTTTTTTTAACTTGTTTTTATATATATATATATATATATATATATATATATATATATATATATATATATATATATATATATATAAAATGCTAGTTATTAATACTAGCAATTAATATATGTAAAATTATATAATTTAACAGAATTTCTGCTAATAAAGTAAAGTGCTCAGTATTAGACTAGACAATAATTATTATTAAATTAGATATCATAATGTTCAAAGGCCAACTGTATTTTATAAAATAGATTTTGTGTGATCAATACAATCATTCTTGTCAAGAGTCCTGATAAGTTATTGAAAAATTAGGAAACTCTGAGTATTTAATATTATATCTAATTTGATGATAATATATATGGAGACTCTAGTAATCTTGTTGTCTATGTTAATTTTTGTCAGATTGATTTTGTTATTTTGGAGCAGGATAAGCCCATTTCTATTCTCTATTACTGGTAAAAATGTTTGCAGATTTTGATGCATCAGTTCCAAATCATGATGATAGAACTTGGCCATGTGTGTCTGGGCAGACTACAAGATTTTCTAATAAATTAATCCATCTTTACTCCAAAAAGATTCTCCTGATCTGTAGATCAGTAGAATCTTTTTTTTGGTAAAGATTTTCTTTTGAAAATGTTTACTTAGAGAAGTAAGGCTATATTTGCAATTATTGTACCGAAATTACTTTTTATCAAGAAAAGGGTTATTTTTTTAACTGAACAAGAAAATTGCAGCAATTCTCAAACCATGCAAGTCTATCAATCACATCACTTCTTTATTCACTTTAGCAGATGTTTTCTGTCTGGCTACCCCCAGTTTTGATTCCAACACACAATAGTTTGTTTCTGGATGAGTCTCCCTGATTGGTCTCAAGTATTTATTGTGACTATGACCAGTCCCTTTGAGGGAATCAAACTTTTGGAATCAATTACATAGGACTCCAATCCTAAAGTATCATTGATGTTGTGGGTGGATTTACCAGCATAATGGCTGTGTTTGAATTTAGAGAGCATGATGACATGAAAAACACATTTTCTGATTTTTGTTTCAGTACTTTATAAAAAGATAAATGTAATAAAAAAATTCAAACAGCATCTGAAAGACACAGCTCTAAAATAATACATGTTTTAAGGCAAATGTTATTAAAGACAACAGACATTTTGTGTTGATTAATTTTATTGATTGACTTTTCTAAATTATGAATAATCCTTCACAGATCAGAAGGAAATTCTGTCAGAAACTGCCCAAAGCTCATTTCAAAAGAAATATGGTCTAAGCTTTCAACTTTCTTAAGTCATTATCAGCATAGGTAGAGAAAAATGTTGAATTTCATAGAACTGGTGAGTGTAGTGATGTAGGCAAGGTGTCATGTGTATATTTGTTTTTTTATATGCATTTAAAGATGTGGCCTCTGAAATTATAATTGTTTTTATTTATAGATGATTTTTTTGTTGTAGGAGTATTGCTTTGAGGATCATAAGTCTGTTTTTACTATTTGATTTTTATAGTATCTTGGTATTGCTTGTGAGTAGATGTCTAATGTTACTATGATCCTTATGCTGCTTATTGTGTCTGATGGCACCTATGGATGTAGGTCATATAATAGGGTGGAGAGGATTGCCTGATTTGTAGATTTTAACATTCCCATAGAGATAGCCAGGATGATATTTGCAGTAATTTTTGAAGTTTGAATGATCCAGTTTCAGCATTATTCATGGTTATTAGTTCATTTATGTGGACTTTTAACTGGGGAGTTGTATTTTGGAGTAGTTTGTTGAATTTATTTATTTTGTATGTGGCAGTTTGGTTTGAAATTTAAAAAGATTTGTTTAATGTTCAGTAAGTTGTATGTTTGAAAGATTGAGAAATTTGTCAGGAATTGGGAAAGAATATGGATCCTTTGTATAAATTGTTGGGTTTTTTCTTTTTAATTTGTGAGGTATCCTGATACACATGCACACACACAAATAAAAGGGAACAATGCAAAAAAATACTGATCACAGTAATAAAATGCAAAGCAGCCATTTATTTTGTTCTGGTATGTGATATATAGTAAATATATAAGACAAGTGAAAAAAATTTCTATTTTGACATGTTTTGTCAATGGACTGGAATCATCACAAAAAGAATTTTATTTCACTGGAACAAAATCTACATTAACAAAGTAAAATGAGATTCACATTAAGCAGCTGAATGCTTGATTTTTACATTAACTTTATTGTTATAGATATTAGATTTTAACTAATTTTAAGTAATTTTAGTATTTTAAGTTTTTATTCTTACTTAGAAATTAAGGTTTATTTATTCCATATTGTTTCAGTACTAATTTAGTAAGAACAGTATAAACTGAAATAGATAATCATATATTCATTGTAGGGACTCATAGATCATGGCACGTTCAATATATCTTTGTTTGAGTAAATTATATCCCATTTTTATTAAAATTAAATTTTCCAGCTCAAAATTGTGATCACTAATGTTTTGGTGAGACAGTGCATTAAGAATAAGGCTTAATGTTAAGTTACTTTTATGTTCCTATATTCTTTTTAAATCTGTTTCTCCAATGTATCTTTGGGGTCATTGTTTGCATTCTATTTGGTATTTTATAATATAAAATTAACTCTGTTTTACACTGATTGAATTTTGTTTTTTTAAATGTTTGGGATATTTTTTAGATTGAGATTAGCTAAATTACTTTAAAGTTAATTAGTTGGAGTTTGTAGGTAATATAATGAGCATAGATTTTGTGTTGTTTATATACAAATATATATATAGTGAAACCTTGACATACGGATGTTCCAAGTTATGAGCTTCAAGTTATGAATTTGTCCCAAGGTAAGAGTCAAGCTTGCTAGCTTTGATTTTTGAAAATCGTGCTCAGTCTAGCCATCTACCAAGCTATCAGAAGACATGCAAACTCTCTCAGCATCTTACACCAAGAATGAGACCCACATAGCTAGTTTCATTTTTTATCTTGTCATGGCATGTTATAATCTGCATTATATTTAGCTCATGTTTTGATTTGTGCAGTTATTTTGCCAAATTTTTTTGTTGTAACTCAACCATGACCCCTAAGAGACTAAATGCAAAGGACAGTGTTATGAAGAAGTGAGTGATTTCACTTGAAATGAAATGCAAAATCATTGCCAAACATGAACGTGGAGTATGTGTTGTTGATTTGGTAAAGGAGTTTGAGCATAGTACTTCTACAATATTCACTATTCTTAAACAGAAGGATACATTGAAAACTATAATGCCATTCAAGGGCATTAGGATTCCTTCAAAGCTTCAGATTCCACTTCACAAAGAGATGGAAATGCTGCTTTTGGTGTGGGTGCACAAAAAAACAACTCACAGGGGATACCATGACAGAGGCAGTTATTTGTGTGAAGCTGACACCAGGCACTTCAGCAACTTTGACTCACAAAATTCATTTAAAGCCAGTCATGGCTGGTTTGATAAGTTTAGGAAGAGGTCTGGCATCACTCTGTCGTGAGGCATGGTGAGGTAGTGAGTTCTGATAAGAAGGCAGTGGAAGAATATGTAAAAACTTTCGCTGAATTGATTGAAGTGGAAGGGTACATCCTCCAATAAATCTGCAACTGCGACAAGACAGGGTTATTTTGGAAAAAAAAATGCCAAAGAGGATTTATATAACAACAGAGGAGTAGAATAAGCCAGGCTACAAATCTGTGAAAGATAGATAAATCCTAAACATTGTGACCAAATGCAAGTGGTGACTGCAAGATTAAACCACTTCTTGTCTACCATTCTGATAATGCCCAAGCCTTTAAGTGCACAAAATTATAAAAGAAAAATTGCAGGTTATGTGGACAGCAAGCCCAAAGGCATGGGTGACAAGGCAATTCTTCATCAAATGGATAAACCTGGTCATTGGTCCTTCCATTAAAAAGTTTCTCCAAGAGCATGACTTACCCCTGCAAACCCTTGTCCTTGACAATGCTCCTGCTTACCCATCGAATCTTGAGGATGACATCCTCAAAGAGTTCTCTTTTATCCACATTCTCTTCTTTCCACCCAACACCACCCTTCTCTTCCAGTCCATGGACCAGCAGGTGATTTCTAATTTCAAGAAGGTCTTCACAAAGCTGTTTTGATGTCACAGAGAACGCAAACCTTACCCTTTGTGTATTCTGGAAGGACCATTACAACATCGTTACTGGTTTATTGATATGGCTTGGCAGAAAGTTACAAGGAGGACCTTGAACTCTGCTTGGAGGAAGTTGTGGTCTGAGGCAGTGTCTGAAAGGGACTTTGAATGTTTTGAACAGGAGATGCAAGTGATAGAGGAGATTGTTAGCCTCAGAAAGTCTATGGGCCTTGATGTGGATGAAGGGGATGTGAACAAACTTGTTTTGAGCACACACAGGAGCTGTCTGTGGACCAGCTAAAGGATCTACAGGAGGTCAACACACAGAAGTTTTGGTGGAAATTGTGGGTAGTGCAAAAGAGGCAGAGGTTGAAGAGGTGGTTATCTATACAAAGGAGGTACAGAAAATTTTGGGGATGTGGGAAAATTTTGTGGTTATATATATATAAAAAAAACATCCAGAAAAAGTGTTAACTAGTCATGCATTGGTGCTGTGTAATGACACTTGTGTAATGCATTTCAGAAAAATGCTGAAGGATAGGAAGAAACAAACAACCATGGATAGGTTTTTGTTGAACTGACCTTCAGTTCAAAATCAGGAAAACATGTCTGAAAAACAAAAACATTAGTGAAGAAGATGCGAACATCATTGATGGCAATTAAGTGTTAAGTAAAAAATAATAATGTATGTAATTTTAAGTTTAGAGCTAAGTTAATTAAAAAAACAAAAATTTTATAGCAATTAAGTGTACTTATATAATGGCAAAGGCAATAAAAAAATTAACTGTAAAAACAAATATTTAGCAATTAAGTTCATTGATAAAGTGAATTAAAAATAAAAAGAAATTGTACCAATTAGTATTGATAAGTTCTGTGAGCCAACAAAAAGCTCTGCCATCTGTCTCCTACAAGACCCAAATTTTAACATCTGCCACATAACCCCAAGTTTAATTTACTTTATGTACTTGGTCATGGAACGAATTAAACTTGTTTCTCAAGAAGGTTCCACTGTATAATATTACTAAAGAAAAACCAATGATGTTGATGTAACCAACAGACAACTTGCCAAACAACGTAACATCTTAGACAAGGAAAAATCCTAAACAAGGAAAGAAAAAAGAAATAAAGACCAAAAAGCAAACACCTAGGTATGCAGTAAAGTACTCAATCCCCAGACAGAGCAAAAAATGCTTCAGAATGTCAGTGCTTAACAATGGACAGCTTGAATCATTACTCAAAGTTCATGCTCTCGTGATGACTTCAGATGACTATATATATATATATATATATATATATATATAATATAATAATCTCAAATGTAAAACAACAAAAGTAAGATTTCAGCATTCAAAACATTAATTTAAAACAGGGCTCAAGACAAAAGTAGAACAATAAATATTTATTTATTATGCAGTGTTACATTAGAACATGCACATACCCACTACAAAACTCTACATCTTGTTTCAACGTTAAAAATTTTTTTAACATTTCATCAGGTGGGAAATCACGATGCATTGTATTTTCCCACCTGATGAAACATTAAAAAAATTTTTAACATTGAAACAATATATATATAAGGCATAGGATGGTGAATGATTTAAAAAATATTTTCAAAGTATTTATCTTCATCAGGTAGATATTCAAGACTGCAAAGGAATCATAAACAAAATCTTATGGTTATGCCATATTCTATCTTATTGCTGTGGTAATGGTAAAAATATGAGGTCATTTTTATTTGATGTTATTTGATTCATTTTTTTATGTGTGAATTCAATTGGTTCAATTCAGTTTTGTTTACTTTATTCATGAGATCTAGTAATTTAGTTATTGTGCGAAGAAATTAGTAAAGTTTAATTCATATAACAAAAGTATTCAGCATTTTTGGGCAAGATATTTTAAAATGGGGGCTGGATTCTAAGAATGCTAAGAAGAAGCAGGCTAAAATATTGTTGATAGGAGAACCTGTAATTTTTTTGCAAAACATTGAATTTGAAAAAAAATTAGTTTGTACAAATTTGCAAGGTTGGAGAAGATTTTTTTTTTGATTTTTTTTTTTTTTTATCGGAGGGAGAGGTTTATTTTTCATTTTGTGATGAAGTTTATTACAAAATTAAACATTTATCAAATGCTATGTTAGTATATAAAAGATGTAATGTCTAAGCTACCCATGACTTTATTTTTCATATTTATGTTCTTCGATTTGTTCATGAGATCTCCAGAATTTTTAAGGTGAAAATGGCTAAGTGTTCTTAAAATCTTTGCTTAGGCTAATTTGTGATGAGCACTATCTATACCAGCGAAAATAGATTGTATTGTATTGGAGTGTTGGGTTTGTGTGTTTTTGGTAAGCCATTTATAGTCTAGTTATCTTTGGAGGATATTCTATTTATTGTAACCATGATTTGTCTTCATTTTTTATTAGTTTTCTTGATTGAATTTTTGTGTCTCCTTATTGATTTTATGTACTTCAATTTTTTTCATAAACACTACTATGATTTAATAGAGATTATAGTTTTCTTGTAAGAATCGTAATTCCACCACATTGTCTTCATGCAATTTTTGTAGTTGTAATTATTACAAAAGTGCCTCTCACAACACAGTGAAATGAAACAAAAACTAAAATATATTAACAATCCTTATTACCATAAAAATTAACCCCACTCCCCCAAAATAGCTAAATTATTAGCTGAAAGTGCTCCACACTCAGTCCTAAAAAAAATTATAAGGACACAAGAATAATTAAATAAAATAACTTACAAAATATTCCTTGTTCATCATCTTGAATAAAACACACATATAGACATAATTGTTTCATCTCCTCCATGTTATGCAATACCTATCACAAAAAGAAAAGTGTTGATTATCTTGACCTGGGTGTACAAAATAAAAGAATGTTTCTTGGTTGGAAAATATATATTTTGAAAATTAACAATAAAACTAATCCAGTAAACAATTTTTTGCATAATTCCAATCTAACATAAATCAAACAAATAATTTACAGTCTGGCTTTTTTTAATATATAAACTTTTATGAGAAAACTCATTACTTGTTAATACATCAAATTTATTTTTGCTGATTTCATATTCATACCATGAAAAGTTTATGCTGATTCTTATGATTTTTTCCACACTAGCCTTCCAGTCAAATATTTGGTTACACTTTCAACTTTGACACTTCAACTCCAATTACCTCTGACACAAATTATCTTTCTAACATGGTTGTTGAGCCACCAAACAGTGGGAGTGGTTGTACTTTACCTCAATCAGTGTCTGCCAGCAGTGGCTTTAGCAGCATCCCATCTGGCCTTATTTCCCCAGATCCACAATATAAGTAAGAATCATTCTTCATTTTATATTAATTTGTGTTTTATCATTTTTGAAGATGTGTAAGCTATGTTGCTTAAAATTTTAAGTAAATGATGAATATATTAACCCATTTTACATGATACATTTTTGAAAATCTAGTTGCCATTGAGTGACACCTGATTAATTAAATGTGATACCTGTAAGCTGATATGCTACAAATAAACTTGCACATGAAAGATGAAAAAGAAATACTTGACTAAATGTAAAAAAAAAAAAAGAAATAATGTAATAAAATATGAGTTCCTCTTAAAAAAATCATATAATTTAAGATATTTAAGATAAATCATTCAAGATATGTAAGAGGAGCTATTTTTAAAAATTATCTTATTGTACTATGTATTTCAGGAATATGTTTTAAAATTTTTTGTTTGGAATGTCCTTTTTCATACTGCCACCATTGTTTCAAGTATTTTCACCTTTAAAACTTTCAGGTACACTTACATGCAAAAATTCTTAATCAACTAATTGAATTTTTTAAAAAATTCTGACTTATTGCAGTTAATATAGAATATTTGTCTTTTTTGTTTTTGATAGCAACTTAATTTTGATTCATTTTATTGTCCATTTTCAGATTGTTAATGCTTCTAATACCAGGTTATGCTTGATATTGTGGCATAAGTTTATAACTGCAAAAATGACATGCTAATGTGACATTAAAATTTGAATTAAAAGTTCCTTGAATTTCAATGTTAAATTGGTTTCTTTTTTATATATGAGAATTTTTTATTTATGAGACTGGAATTTTTCCACTTTTGGGATAAGAGGCTGCTTTTTTGTTTGGAATTCACACACACACACACATTATGTCAGATTTTATTATGCAAATTAATGTTTTCATAATAGAATTAGTATGAACCAACCAACCTCCAATAATTCACTGAAAGAAGAGCATACCATGATGAAATAAGACCTCAAACGTAATTAAAAACAATGTTTTATTGTCAAAATGTTAAGAGAAAAGACCAAAGTATTTTTTATTTATTTTTTAAGATTTTTTTTACTCCTTTCTAACATGTTTGAAATTTGTGTTAAAAAATCTTTTTCTTTTTTTTTGTCAATGTGTAACAGATTTTAATAAACCTTTCGGGACTGGTTCACAAATGAATGAATTTATTTTTAGAAAATCTTGGCAAAATTATTTTTTACATCTGTTTCCCCCACCCTTACTTAATTTCATAAAATTTTATAGAATTTAAAATCGCTAACAAAATGTTTTTTATTCGTTAAAAGCATGACACCTTGGAGAATGTAAATCATTTTTTTTTCCAAGTTATTACCAAATTTCCTAAAATCTGCTCCAAATCATAAAATAAAAACTCCAATAAAACTATCTAATTATTTAATTAGATAAACTTTTAATTGCTTCTATAAATAATATATATAGTCTGAAATAATATATTATAGTCTGAAGAAAAAAAGTTTTTTGATCAATAAGGAATTTTTACAAGAATTATTTACAGTTTTCTTTTTTTAATTATAAAGTTTCAAAAATGTTTTAAAATTCTTTCAAACATCCCTAAAGTTAGGTTATTATGTTATTAAGTGAAGACTGAAAATTGAAAAGTTTAATACAAATCATCCCACCAAAAATTTTTACAATAATTAAAAATAATTTTTTGTGTATCCAAATGTTTTTTTTTGTTTTTTTTTTTTAAAGTATGGTGTTTCATATGTGTTGTTAGAAGGTCACGATTTTCAAACATTGTCCTACTTAGGTTCATTAACCTTTTAGTTTTACTTAGTTAAGAAAAATAATTTGAATTTATTTATTTTTTTAATTCTTTAAGTTTCTTTTTTTTTTTTTTTTTTTTTTTTTTTGTGAGTTATATTTTGATAAAAAAATGTTTATTTCATTTTAACCCTAATGTTTAGTCTAATCATTTTTAGGCTACATTTCATTTACATTTGAAATTAGTTTTTTTTTTTTTCTCATTTTATTTTTAATTGTGGTAGGTACCTCCACTAATTCTTGATACCTAAGTTTAAATTTAAAAAACAAAAATGAAAAAGCTTTTATTTTAGCTTTAATTGAAAGCTAAATGATTAAAAAATACATTTTTTCCTATTTCCAGTAAGCAAAATGTTCTGGTGTATTTCAAACAGAAATTGTATATTGATTAGAATGTTTTTTTGTCTGTAAAAAAAGTGATAAAAAATCTTGCCATTTTTTTTGTAAACAAAAGTTAATTCTCATTTCTAAAAATTTTGTAAAATGCAATATATTTTTCTGAAATGTTGAGGATAATTAGCAAATTTAAAGTTAAATTAAACTGATTTGAAACAAAAAAAATTAAAATGTGTACACTGCTGACAAAAAAAAAATTAACCAAAATTTCAAACATGGTAGAAAAGATTAAAAAATAAGAGGTAATTCAATAATTTAGATAATGTTATTAATTTAAGAAATTTTTATAGTATTCTAAATTTTATTATTTTCAGAAAGCATCTTCAATTGTAAGGTTAGGTACCTAAAAAAATTCAATAAAATATTAGATAATTGCTTAAAATATTTTGTTAATTTTGAAAACTTACCTGGTAGTTAAAAAAGAAACCGTTTTTACTTAGAATTCATAAATTTGTCAATTCTGGTCCATCATACTTAACCTGTCAACACCTTTGGACATCAATTTATCGATGGAGACATGAGAATAACAAGACCCCATGGTAAAAAAAAATGCTTGTATAGAAAATTTTATGCTATAAGTAAGTAATATTTGTTTCAGAACAGATTAATTTAACTTTAAATTTGTTAATTTTATGCAAATAACGTTTCAGAAATATATTTTTTATTTTTGCAAGATTTTTAAAATCAAGAATTAAGTTTTGTTTAAAATTTGTCAAAAAAATTAAAAATGGCCATTTTGATTTGTTTTTCTGAAAAAAAAATTAATCAATAAAAAATCATTCTAATTTCTATTTGAAATGCACCACAGTATTTTGCTTTCTGGAATTAGAAAATTTAATCCTTTAGCTTTCAATTGAGGCTACAAAAGAAAACTTCAAGAAAGATTTTTCATTTATGAAAATACATTTAAACCTTAGGTATACTGAAGTTTTGGAAGTACCTAAGTAAAATTATATGAATTTCAGCTTATAATATCTATACTTCCTAAAATATTGATAACTTGTTTTGGGAATGTCAGGTTTATGTAAAATGCATAAATCCCAAAAAATATAGGCCAAAGAAACATATGATTAAAATAATATCCAATATACATAAATAAATCATTATTTTATTATTTTAAATGTTAATATGGACTCCTTTACATTCTATAGCCTTCCTTATTTTTCTTATACTAGAATTTGTTTGGAAAAATACTTTAATAAAAACCCTATTTTGCAGTTTAATAATTTCTTTAATTTAATTTTATAGGACTTCATGGTAAACAATATATTTTAAGAAAATTTTATTTTTTACCTTTTTAACATTGAAGAATAAATTCTTAGAATTTCTTACTCTTGAGGATGCAACATACAACTGGCCAGGCATAAATATTTCTTTCTGGAGCCAAATTCCAACTTTTTGAAGGATTTGGCATTGTGATTTGTTTTATAGTTCTTACAAATGCATGGTGAACTGGAAACTGGATTCTTGTATATATAAAAACTTAAGGAAGATATGCAAAAGTAATATTGCATTTTTATTAAATAAGTATTTATTTTAATCATTAAATTGTTTTTAAAATAGCTGGAGTATTTTGTATGTTAAATAATAAAACTTAATTTTTCCAAAGAATTAATGAAAATTTATTGTACTAAGCTACATACCCTAGTAAAACCAACTGTACTTTGTAGCCCCTTATCTGTTTGCACTTCTCCCCAAAAATTGGTTTTGATCAGTTAATGTATGACTATTTTAGAGGGTGTGGTGGATAGATGAACTAACAGAAATTACAGAATTTTATATATAGATAGATTGATTTTGTTAACTTTTCTACTATTTCAACCTGGAGAAGTTTCTATTGCTTCTCAGAGACATTCTAGAATATTGTTTTCCATTCTTATCTGTCTCTTTTAATGATGGATCATAAGTTTTGTTACTTATTATCTGAAGGGGCTAGGAGGTGCTCTATTAATTTAGTGTTTTATAAACTTTTTTTTATTTGCTGCTTTCTAGAATATGAAGACACACTGTCTTGAATGTATATATGCTTTAGTTTTAAGTTTCTTTATTGTAATACACAAAAAATATCTCGTCCAAGAACACTAATTCTATGCATTTATCTTGGCACCATCATGAACTTTGAAGAAATCTATTATTTTAATTTTCTACATTAGTGGGAAATCACGGGCAATACCTTGCCCTTGTCAGCCACCAACCAGAGGAGGTAACAGTTTTGGTGGCTAAAGCAGTACTGCCACCCCTGGTACCACCACCAGCTTTTGCCATTGGACAGGGTATTATTTTTCTGTAGACATGTCAGTTGCATTTTTTTTTTTAAACTGCAAGTCAGATTTTCAACATTGTGTTAAGTGTTTGCTTTTGATCATTAACCAATACACAGTGTGTTTGTAGCAACCGTTATCAATGACTTAGAATGGAAGGTAAACAGATGTTTCATGTTGGAAGTAACATTTTATTGTGAGCATAGTTTTAATTAACTTTGTTTATTTTGGATCTTGGCCAGATCCAACTCTTTGCCTGTTGAGCTATGGTCGGGAGACAATGTGAAGCATGCTTCAGGCTTTGGTCAGTGATGCCCACCTTCAAAAAGAAGGAAATGATTGACCATCCAAAGAATCCATGGCACCTGACCTCAATAGGTAGCACATGACATGTCCACCTCTTTTCCACGCAGTTGGGTCGCAATGATTTGTAGTAGTTTTTCTTTTGCTCATGCATTTCCTCTCTGTTCTCTTCCTATGGAACCATTAATTCTACTAGGAGGATACGCTTTTTTTAATCAGACCACGCTACTGTAGAATAACAATACAATAAACAACACTTACCAGCGTAAGAGTTCC